TGCTGGGATTACAGGCGTGAGTCACCGCGTCCAGCATCCCTATTATGTCTTTATTAAGCATAGCCAAAACCACAATCCTGATCGATGCTTCGGCCTAACTGCTCTTCTAGAAAGCACCAAGTAGCTGACCATAGATACCCCTTCCCTCTGATTTCACCCCCATCCGTATACCCCACCAGCAGGGCCCTAGAGCCAGAAGCATGAATCTCAGTGACTTTTGAATAAATCATTAACTCTCTGTGCCTCAATTTCCCCATATATAAGAGAGAAAGGATGGCGCCTACAGTTTTCAGAGTCTATCCTCCTAGCACTCCGAACACCTAAGGCAAGGGCTGCCAACCAAAATGCCTGCAGGCCACACATATGACAGGTGACTGAGGAGAGAGACGTTAGGGAGTAGGGAGGCCTGTGGCAGAAAACACACGTTCTATTAAAAAGAAGTGTTGGTAACTCAAGGTGTGCAGCCACAACCTCTGGTCCAGTTGCTGGGACCCCAGCAGCCGACCCCTTCCAGCCCGAATCGTGCAGCTCCTTGCAGGTTCTCTGGTGGGTCCTGCCATGGTCGGTCACCTTCCAGCCTGGATCCCAGCAGGAGGGACCCCCACACCCCTCCCCACAACTGACCTGGGCATGAGCAGGACGTGGACGAGCAGGATGCAGACAAAAATCAGGCCGGCGCAGGCAAAGTCGTGGCGGGCCCGGGGGATGGGTGCCAGGCGGTACTGGGGGCAACAGGGACTGTGAGGGGTGGCCACCTGCAGTGCCACTTGCCCACCCCGCCTCCAGTGAATCAGCTTTAAAAAAACACCTCCTTGCTGGGACAGTGGCTCACGCTTGTAATCCCAGCACTTTGGGAGCCAAGGAAGAAGGATCACTTGAGCCCAGAAGTTTGAGACCAGCCTAGTCAACATAGTGAGACCCTATCTCTATTTCTAAAATAAATAAATTAAAACCCTCCCACCCTCCTGGAGTTCCAGGTGATGTGACACTTGGTAAGTTTCATTTGTTCCCATTCTCCGCTTTTTCCTATTTGAGGACAATGCCTTCCCCTCCCCTACGCCACCCGTCTCTCTCTTTGCAAGGTCCCTGCAGAGCTCATGGCCCCAAGTACATGGATAGGAGCCAAGTCTGAGCTTCCGGGGCTGTCCTCGCCTCAAGCCAAGAAGCTGGCAGGTAGGGAGACCACCCCACCCCCACCCAGGTGCCATTGTGGGATCACAGCCCCAGAAGGGTTCCTGCTGCACTGCTGCAGGGAAGGAAAGCAGGCTCGGCGGCCCGGCCACACCAGCCACACCCTGCAGGTCACTTGGCCAGCAAGACCTGCCAGGCAGGTTTCCTCGTGACCTCACCTAGGAAGCCCCCAACTCAGGGAGCCCCACAAGAGGAAGTACTCCCAAATTTGGACTCTGGGTGCCACTTCCTCAGGCTGAGGAGGGAGAGGGGTACCCCTGGAGCACCAAGGGCCGGGACTGTCCTCTCTGACAGGCCACACCTGAAGCTGGGGACAGGCTCTGAAGCCTCTGAGAGCCAGTTTCCTGTCTGTGAAGTGGTACAGCAGCACCCCTGGGCTGGCCGTGTGACGGTTAAATTGTATAATGTGGGTGCCGAGGATGCTGCCGGAACTCAGAAGGCACTCAGGAAAGAAATGGTCGTTATCAGTACAAAAAGCTCGTAGCAGCAAGACAGGACAGTGATAACTGAGTTTTGGGTTCTC